CCCCCCCCCAATCTCTGTCTCTCTGTGTCTCTCCCTCTCTCTCGCCCGTGTGCGAGTTTGCGCTGCCCCCACCGCGGTCACCTCGTACAGTAGTGTTGACCAAAGCGGGACGGGCGCGGCCGGACAGACAGCCAGCTTCCCGGTGGTCGGCAGACAGTGTCGAGGCCGAGGCTGTGCTGTGCACTGGTGTACATCGGCAACGACTGACAAGTAAGTTTCAGCTGTTAGTGTACTCGAAAATGAGATTATTGCGTGTCAATTTCTGTCATGTAAGTAGCCACAAAATCATAGCCCAAATCCTCTCTCATCCAGTATCATTATTTTAAGAAGAGGATAGAGGATTCGTACACTTTGAGCATAAAACGCGATGGAAAAGTTCATCATATTTTTTAAAATGAAAAAATAGATTGCAAGGCCTTTTTAGTATCCGAATCAAGTTCCCGGGAAGGATTTTTTATATTGTATATTCAAGTGATTTTTCATCCAACTTTACATCAGTACAGAGAGATTGCAAGTAGTGTCAGAGTAGGTAAATAGCAACACGCCTACTCGTCCAGTCGCGACGACGCAGTAGTATGAGAAAATGGAGGAAGTCAAAGAAGGGGGCACTTTTCCACTCTGTGTGCGATATCTCTCGGTCGAGAGAAGACACTGACCCGTGCAGCCGCGGGGTCGTCTCGACGATAAGCATCTCGCGCGTCAACAAACAGCCGACGCGCTCTCGGATTGGCCGCGGCCCTTGGCGGTCTGGCTCCCGCGGACCAATGGACGCAGGGCTTTTTGGGACCCACCACAAACGTATAGTCGCGAACACACGACTTGACGGATGATGAATTTTTGAGTGACTATAATGACGTGCACGGGGAAAGAGAGAGGAACCGGGAGAAGGGGAAAGGGGGGGGGGCGAGTCATTCAACGCAGAACGCTGTCAGCCTGGCAACAAGCAAATTGTCCTGCCTACGTTGGTCAGTGGTCAGTGTCTCTTATCTCGTCAACGGTCAGATCGGCCATTTTACCCTCTTATCCATCCCCTTTCTAATGCATTTATATCATCATCAACGAGATGTTAAGAAGGATGTCGGTGTCGTCGATGTGCGACCCGTTAAACCTCGCTCTCCTTTTCTTCACAGAATGAGACTGACGGCCCTCGTGCTGGCGGCCCTGCTGGGGCTCGCCGCTGCCCACCACGAGCAGCAGAATCACCACCCGCTCTCCGATGAGGCCATCAACCACATCAACTCGCTGAAGTCTACCTGGACGGTGGGTGCTTACTCCCAACTGCCCTTTCAAAGCTCTGTTCAATTCCCGCTCTACGAACACATTTCTCTCTCGCAGGCCGGGCGCAACTTTGCCCGCGACGTGTCCATGAACTACATCCGCGGGCTGATGGGCGTGCACCCCGACGCCAAGCGCTACCGCCTGCCCGAGCTCGAGCAGCCCGAGGGCCTGGTCGGCGACGCCGCCGTGGAGGTCCCCGAGAACTTCGACTCCCGCACACAGTGGCCCAACTGCCCCACCATCGGCGAGATCCGCGACCAGGGCTCCTGTGGCTCCTGTTGGGTGAGTCGACGACGAGGTCGATGACGCCACGAAGGGGCGTTCGTCGAGCTTGGCTTGATGGCTTGATTAAACGATCACATTTCGAAAATGGGCGTCCTGGGTTTCTCTACTAGGCTTTCGGTGCCGTCGAAGCGATGTCTGACCGCACATGCATCGCCTCCAAGGGCCAGCTCAACATCCACTACTCCGCCGAGGACCTGGTCTCCTGCTGCCACATCTGCGGCTTCGGTTGCAACGGCGGCTTCCCCGGCATGGCCTGGAAGTACTGGAAGCACTTCGGCCTTGTCTCTGGGGGCAACTACAACGCCTCCCAGGTGAGTGTAGAGGTGCCACGCCAGAGTGTGGCTGGCAATCGCTAAGTGTACGGTTCGCGTGAACATCAGTTCAAGGGTGTTTTTACACACAAAAGCGGCGTGGAAAAAGGGGGGGCACTACCCCACAACTCCGCAGCCTACGCGCTTGAGGAGTGAACCCTACTCTCGGCTGGGGCCCCGTTTCACACCGTGTTTGTCTTCAGGGCTGCATCGACTACAAGATCGCCCCCTGCGAACACCACGTGTCTGGAGACAGGCCCGCCTGCAAGGAGGGTGGCAGCACCCCCAAGTGCGAGCAGAAATGCCGCGAGGGCTACAGCGTGCCCTACAAGAAGGACCGCCACTACGGCAGAAAGTCCTACTCCATCAAGTCCGACCCTCAGGCCATCCAGACCGAGATCATGACCAACGGACCCGTCGAGGTGGCCCTTACCGTCTACGAGGACCTCCTCCACTACAAGTCAGGTGAGTGCCCGGCTCAAGCGCCTGCGGCGCGCCCGATTCGCTCTGTACCGCTAGGCGCCGGTGTCTGATTGCCTGCCTACCTTCTGGCGGTGCGCACTTGAGTGCTCGGAACTGTCTGAGCAACTTGTGCTTGGTAATGGCGATGTAACTAAAGTAGAAAATACCAGGTGGTTGGAAAATCCAGCCGGACATTGTATTCATATATTGTACCGCGCATGAGGACGCAGTGCGAGTTACCTTCGTATAACTTCAAAATCTGTCGGGAATGCACAGCGATCTGGCGGAGTAAACTACTCTGAGCTTCCGGAGTATTGGTAGTTGTTTAATTTCTCGATGTCGTCTGTCGACGTGTATTGCAGGTGTGTACCAGCACGTGAGCGGCTCGGTGCTCGGCGGCCACGCCGTGCGCATGCTGGGTTGGGGCGTGGAGAACGGCACCCCCTACTGGCTCATCGCCAACTCCTGGAACACGGACTGGGGTAACAACGGCTTCTTCAAGATCAAGAGAGGAAGCGACGAGTGCGGCATCGAGGGGTCCGTGGTGGCTGGTCTGCCCAAGCTGTGAGCGTCCCCGCGCAATCACACACGATCGATCCAAACTATGATTTAAAATGTTTTTTTCATTTGCGTCGTAATGACGTCCAAAGGTTTTCGAACTTACATCGCCTAATTTATGTTTCTTGTTTTTTTCTTGAATACCAAAGTCCGAAACAAAATACGACACTATTTGTTTTTATTGATCTGTAATTTGTTCTCTGTTTACAAGTAAATTGTGATAATTTTCTACCAATAATTTCTATCTGAATTACCTATTGTCTGTTCATATTTGTTTATGCATCGACTGCTAACTGGATTAGGACGATGAGATACGTAGTCATCGTCACCAAGAGCTGCGGGGAAAAAAGAGATCGGTTAAAATACATATGAAATTGCCAAAATTCAGATAATGTCACACCTCACCGTTCCTAAAACAGCCCTGTTGATCGGTAGGAAGCCCAGCAGAACGACTCTTGCCGGATGTGTCCGGAGGATGAGTCGAAACATATCCAGCTGCAATGAGTAACGGACGTCAGAGCTGCCCGGGTGTTTGAATCACCTATCGGGTGATTCAAAAGATTTTTTTCTATATACTACATTGTACGCAGGCGACCCGAGCGCCAGCTCTAAGGCACTCGATCCGGCCGATCAGGGTGGGCCGCCGGCTCCACACAGCTGCTCGGCGGGCTGGCCTACCCACCGCATTGCAGGCGCTTTCATTGGCGTTGCCCGGGCGGTCAGCAACCGCGCCCATCAAAAGGCTATTCTGCTTGTGGGCGCACAGCCGAAAGACATACCCATCACCTCGCCTCGTTATCGTCGTTTCCGGTAACGTTCGTTGTGAGCCACCCGTAATCCCCCCCCCCCCGTCCCACTACTTTCCCACCTTTCATCCCAACGTACAATTCGTACCTCTCCGACGGTGTCCCGGTGGCGGCCGTAGGTCCGAATCGTGGCCAGGGCCTGCCGCGGCCTGCCGCCGAGCTGGAAGGGTAAACAGAGTCCTATGATACACGGGTGCGGGTGGAAGATCTCCCGCCCCCCGCCCGGGCGCACGTCGCCGTCCCCATCACCCGCACCTCCTCGTTGATGCGATGTGCCTGGTCGCAGATCCTGGTGAGCGTGACGAGGCCGAGGAGGCCCGCAAAGATCAGAAACACGCCCAGGATGGTGAAGCCGTTGAAGATGACGTACAGCACGTTGAAGCTGACGATCGTGTAGTTGAGGACGAGGATCACGATGTCGAGGAACGTGGTCGTTGTGATGCTGCGCAGGCCCGCGTTCACCATGTAGTACAGCTTGAGCCAGGTCCGCTCCAGCCGCATCACCTCCTTCCTGTCCAGGTCCTCGCGCAGCAGCGCCTAACCCCCCGCCCCCTGTGTTAGTCGCGCAGTTCTGCCCGGTGTCTCAGAAGAAAAACATCTACACGGTCGAACCTCGTCCAGGGCGTCGCCCAGCATGCTGCAGGCGTTGCGCAGGAAGGCGCAGTGCATGCGCCAGCTGGTGGAGGCGAGCGTGAACACGGTGGTCACGTAGGCCTGGAACAGGATCTCGCCGAAAGTGATGGGGCTGTACTTGCTCGACAGCGTGACCAGCACCACGATGGCCAGCGGCCAGCCGAAGCACAGCGCCATGGCCGTGTACTTGACGCGCTTGCGCAGGCTGTCGTTGCGCATGCGCCTACCGCACACGCGCTCCAGCTCCGGCTGGAGAGGAAGAAAAGACGAATCTGACTTGACTATGGAGGAGCGGTTTCAGGTAAAAGTTCATTCGAAGAAACCTGATTACAAGACTATCTCCCCTTGAGCGGTTTGGTGGCCTGCGCTGGGGAGGACAGGACGCACCTGGAAGTCGTGCCAGCGCGCGGCGTACGCGGCGTTGCCCGGCAGCTCCCGGATGAAGCCGATCTGGATGCCGAGCGAGATGATGTACACGGCGTACTGCAGGTTGAGCAGGCGCGTGGGCACGTCCCTGATTTGGAAGTGGAAGTTCAGGTGGAAGACGAGCGCCTCCCAAGAGCGCCAGCAGGAGAGGCACACCCCGAGGCCGGTGAAGACGCTGCGCAGCGAGCAGCCAGAGCGCACCAGGCGGCCTGGGCCGGCGGAGGTGAGATGAGACAGTCCATCACCGCGACCAGCGCGCGAGTACCGGGTGATTCAGGGAAGACGCAGGTGCGGGCGGGGTGGACTTGCCTACCCAAGGGGTTATGGCGCCTTACGGGCAGAGCGGGTAGGCAAACCTGCCCGCACCCCCGCACCTGCATCTTCTGATCTTCTCTGAATCACCCGGTACGTTGGGAACGACCGACCGACTCACCGCCCTTGGTGACCCTCTGCGGCCAGGCAGCGTACAGCGAGAGCACCCGCCATAGGGGCTTGAAGGTGAGCACGTACTCGCACGGCCCTGCCATGGCGAGCTGAGCGCGAGCTCCGGTCCCGTCCGCCGGTCCGCACGCGCACGGCCCGAGGCGCCCGAGGCGCCCCTGGTCCTCCCCCTGGAGGACAGGTGCGCGCGGTTGGCCAGTCGCGTGCTGCGCGGAGGTGGGGCGGAGCGGCGCGGCGCAGAGCGCTGCCTGAGGCGCCAATTATTATGGGCTTATCAATAATCGCCCGTAGCTATCAGTCAACCAATTGGCGTTGGCCCGCCGCTTGCCCCTTTCTCAATTACTTTTAATTAACACCAAATGCATTTATGAATGGGAGGGGGTTCACTTCTAAGTACAGAATGTACTAAGGGCAAAAAATAAATATTTATTTCAAACATAACAGATTAAACAGTAATAACAATGAGATATTTCATCAAGGAGAGCGTTTGTTGTGAACCAAACAGGAGAAAATACGAATTTGCACTTCCTCCGTTACTCTGCTCAGTCTTCAACAACAATTATGTCACGTCACAGTCTTATGGCTAAATCACTCAGTCATAATGAGTCACGTGGTTCCGACTGCAAGTGGAAACTAAGCGGGTGTAGCGGCGCAGTCACGTGACCAGGTGGACCAGGTTACTCGTCGTTGACTCGTGACGCACCGGCTGCCTGGGCCGTGGAGACCGCGGAGGCTACGGTGGTGGCGGCACTGGCGCCCTCGGAGGCGGCCGTGCTCGCGGCCATGCCCGCGGCCATGCTCGCGGCCGGGCTCGCGGCCGTGGTCGCTTCCACCGCAGGGAAGTGGGTGAAGCCGTTGCCCTGCTGGTCGCAGAAGCACGAGTCTTTGGTGTTCCTCTTGATCCACGTGAGGTAGCGGTTGACGCGCGCGTACACGCCGGGGTACTTGGGCCTGGCGCAACCCTCGCCCCAGGACACGACACCTGTGGCAGAGCAGCGTGAGAAGGGAGGCGGCGGGCGGCGGGAGTACCAACCAGACACAGCATGCGAGGCGGCTGGGTTTGCCTATCGCACTTGACCGACCATGACGTCTTACGGCCCGAGCGGGTAGGCAAACCAGCAAACCACCCACCCGCTCGCGTAAGCAGGGCAGTGGGCCACCTGGTATCTGGGGGTAGGAAGGACTTACCAACGACGTGATGGAAGGTGCCGTTGACGTAGTGCAGCGGGCCGCCGCTGTCGCCCTGCGGACGGACGAGACGGCCAGTTAGCAAAAAGAGGGGGGAAGGGAAGGGGAGAGAGAGAATCGGTCGCTTGCAGTCGGACGCGCTGAGCACTCACCTGGCAGGAGTCCTTCTTACCCTCCGGGTACCCGGCGCACAGCATGTTGTCGCTGATCCTCTTGGCGCCGTAGTTGGACTTGCGGCACTCCTTGTTGCTCATGATGGGCACGGTGACCTCGTGCAGGATCTGGTTGGTGTTGCCGCCGGGCATGCTCACGCCCCAGCCCGTCACCACGCCGTCGAGGCCGGTGAAGGACTTGCCCATGGGCGGCAGGCACGCGGGCCGCAGTGTCTCGTCGAACTCGAGCGCGCGGTCCAGACGGAGCAGCGCGATGTCGTTGTTGAACGTGGAGTCCGAGTAGCCGGGGTGCTTGATGACGCGCGCGACCTTGCGGTCCACGGTGCTGGTCTCGCTGGAGGAGCTGCGGTCGTGCTCGAGCAGGCGGACGGAGATCTTGGGGCGCTGGAAGCTGCCAGAGGAAGGGGGACGTTCATGAGCACACAACGGCAAAGGGGTCCAGCATCAGCATCCAGCCGGCAGGCTTAGCTCACCCATCCACGCAGTGCGACGCGGTGAGGATGTACTTGGAGCTGATGAGGGTGCCGCCGCAGTAGAAACGGCCGTCGTACATGAGGAGCGCCATCCACATGTACTGGTTGACCTGCACGGGCTGGCCGCCCACGATGCGCGTCCTCTTGTTGGTAAGGCCGCACGCTAGGGGGAAGAGGGTGCTGGTCAGCAGGCGCCGATGGGGATGGGCGGGGCGGGGAGGGGAGGGGGGGCGAGCTACTCACTGCAAGCAGCGCACTTGGTGGGGACGACGGGCTCGCGGTCGGGCTCCTGGGTGGTGGTGCCGCCGCCGGTGAGCCCCAGGATCCACTCCAGGAAGGTCTGCCGTTCGTGCTCCGACAGCAGGGAGGTGCCGTTGGCGGGGGACGCCATCTCGGGGGCCTCACCCACCGTCTCGGCGGAGAGGTCGTACTGCCAGGCCTGAGAGTGTGTTGCATGTAAGGTTGTAAGGTGCAGGAGGCGGGACTCACTCCGCCACTGTCAAACGGGGATCGGACACTCACCTGGGGTACGGGCGCCGTCTTGTCGTGGGCCAGCTTCCTGGCGCTGGCCAGGGCGCACGCCACGAGCACGGCGCCGAGCACCGCGATGCACTTCGCCGACGACATGCTTGGGACTGCGGTTCGAACTGCGGGATGCAGCGGACCGGGATGAACTGATGCTCTGTTTTGCTGCTCGGTACGTTTTATACGCCAAAAGGGAAGGCCGGCCGGGGCGGTCCCTCGCCCGCGGAGACTGCCGCCCCCCGGCCCCTCCCCTCCAGCCCCTCCCCCGGCCTACAGGCCCAGCGTAGACACGCGTCACGCGACCCCGGTGAAGGTAGCCGCCGAGCCTATAGAGCCCTTATCCACTGGGCCAAGGTTCGCCCGAAGCACCGGAGCCGGCGCGGCCGCGCGCCCACGTGACCGTGCTCATCGTCGCCCCGGGTGTCATAAGAGTTATGGGGCGGACATCGCCGTAAAACATTTCTGGCGGAGGCGTCCGAAAGGTCCTCACAGCACCGCCAAAATGCTGACTCGACTTCCAGGGGTATTTTGGAAGTTTTGCAGGGAGGGTGGTGGGGAGGTCTATCCCCCCGAGGGAGAGCGGCACCCTGTTCTCACTGTATACAAGACAGAAAAGCGAGCAGTCGACCGGGTAGCATATGTTGAGTGAGTGCGAATTTCTGGTTCGTCGTGCGAGATTTGCGACGGCGTCGACTGGGCTGGTCCGGAAATTGAATGAAAGTGTAGGTAGATTGGCGAGGCGGGGCGGGGCGGCTGCATGCGGGTGGGCGGGCGTGGGGGCGCCGGCGCGCGGTCGGCCCGGCACGCCTCACGCCGCCCCGCCCCACCTCCGTCTGGTTGTCGGCAGAAGGCTGAAGGGCGCATCGCGGTGCATCGTCTTCCAGGGAACGTGCAGGATAAAGAGAGAATACTTGCAAGAAGCAAAACTAGCGTCCACATTGAAGTCTCATTTTAAAGCGACCGAGTTGAGGACCCGAGGACCAACTCCATGTCGACTCCCCTGGGACGGCGTGCCGATGGCGTTCGCTCTCGCTCGCAGAAGGGCCTCTCGCTCGACGCCGCTCCTCGGGGCCACCACTACGCTTCTGTCGGGACAGGGACCGAGACCTGCTTCTCTCTTCGCCGCAAAACAGGAAGGACAGAGACGTTACTTGACTTAGAGGTTATGGGGGCCGATTGAAAAAGATAACACATGAAGCGATAAGATGCTTTGGCGATGCGTGTGTTCGCATCGCCGGGAGCGCCTGCGGGTGGGCAACCTATCGTCCACCTACGTCGTGCTGGCAGCCGCGATTGTCGGCGAGGCGTTAGCTGCGGGCTCGGGCGTCGTGATGGCACTGGTGTCGTGTTCGTGAGGAGTCGTGGACGTGGTGGTGGTGCTGCTGCTGGCAGTAGTTCCGGCCGCCGTGGTGCTGCCTGCGTGACCGTCGTGCTTGTGGAGCACATCGATCAGGTCGTCGTACACCAGCTCCTTGGCGTTCTTGCCGATGACGTAATCCAAGTGGCTGAACCTGGCGTTCGCTACCTTGCGAACGCCATTTTTCTGGATGTTGCCCAGTTTGTGTGTCAGCTCGTCTATGTTCTACAAAAACAAAAACAAAAGAAATGCAATTATTTTTTCGTGCTAAAGTCATAGCGACTATTTTGTTTGCAAAGGTTTGGCGAGAGTACCGACTGGACGCAGAGGATGTCATTTTCCGCGTGGTAGAGGTAAGTGGGTGCGGTGACTTTGGCTAGGTCGTAATCGGGTGGCTTGGATGTCTTGTATTTCTTCAGGTTCCCCCAGCGGCCGTAGTCGAACTGCCTGAAGACAAGGTGGCGGTGCATGACCTGTTGTCCGAAGTGCAGGAGCTGCTTGGTGGAAGCTCCCGCCGGAACGTTGGCGAACAGATCGGGCAGCACCGTCTGCAGAACAGACAGACAATAACGAACGCGAAGGAGATGCGCGACCAAATTGTCGAAGAGAGAGAGGCGTACCGTGTTCATCTGGTCCGTGTCGGTGCCCGCGAGCAGGAATAGCATATTGGTGCAGAGGGCCTGGCCTGCTTTCCCGTCGTAACAGAGCATGTCGCCTAGGAAAGATATCAGTTTGGAGCTCGGCAGGAATTCGTTGATGCCAACGAGCTTGAGCACAAACTGCAACAAGGGCATATTATCAGCAAGTCTTCGTTTCATACACGCTATCCGCGCAGGGCGCAGAGCGACATGGGCACTTACATACAGCTTGCTGGGGGCGACGGCCAGGAACCTGAGCGGAAAGGAGCGGATGTCCCTGGTGAAGGCCACGGGGGCCAGCCCCACGAACGTCTTCACTTTCTCCATGTACTCCGGGCGCTCGCTACCCATGACGAGGAGCACTGTGCTGCCCTGGCCGAAGCCCACGTAGTGCAGCTGTGGTCACGACACAAACGTTACAGCGGACAGCTCGACGACCTCACATCTATGTTTACACCTGGACACCCAACCTGCGTGTGGCCGGTCTTGTTAAGCACGAAGTCGATCGAGGCAGGCATGTCCAAAACGCCGATTTCGTGGAAGCTGAAGTCCCAGAACTTGGCCCTGTACGGCCTGATGGTCTCGTGCCGCCTGGAGGGCGTGGTGCCGCGAGCGTTAAACAGCCAGACGTCGAAGCCTGCCTCCTGGAGCAGGAAAGCTGCGGGCGCACCCTCCGTTAGGTTTGACTAGCGCGGGCGGCAGCCAGGGAGGCGGGGGTTCAGAGGGCGCACCCAGAGCTCGGCCCCTGCCCAGGACGAGGAACTCTGCCGAGGAGGACAGCAGGCCGTGGGCCAGCAGCACGACCGGCCGGCCCGGGTTGGCCAGCCTGAACAAGGTGAGCAGGTAGCCGTCCGACGTCCGCACCGTGTGGGATTCGGCCGTGTAGTTGTTGGCGGCGGCCAGGTTGACCTGGAGCACCACACGTTGAGGTTAGCCGGCGCGCTGGGCGCCTCCCCCGTGGGCACGCATTTTGACACGGTACCGCCCGTCGGGCGAGCCGCTCCGCGCCACGAGACGGGCCGGGTACACAGTCCAGTGCTACGTCCTGATTACCGTCCCGACGACGGGGGCCTTCTTGGGAGCGATGTCCAGCGGCTGCGCGGCCACCGAGGGCTGTGTCGCGGAGAGCTCGGGTTGCCCCGTCGCCTCCTCGCTGATGATCTTGGACAGCAGCTCCCCGGTGTCCATGGCCTTCAACTGCCACCAGGTGTTCTCGTCGTCCACGTCGGCGGCCAGGGCACAGGTCAGGACGACCAGCGTCAAGAGCGCCCTCAGCGCCATCCTGGACGTTAGACCCGGCCTGTCCGCGTCGCCCAGCGCTTGCCCGGCCAGCGCCCGAGTGGCAGAGTGCAACTGCCCTTTGTGTTTCGTAGCTGCTGATAGCCTCCCTCCCCCCTTCTCCACCCCACTTCCTGCTGTCGGTTTTCCTTTCGCCGGGGCGGTATTTGACAGATGTTGTAAGAGTATTAAATTAAGGGCGCATTTCATAAAAACAATCTTTATTTGAGTTTTCATATGTACAAATATTACAATGGTCAGGTACACAAACATAAAAGAAAACGATTTGACGTCAAAGCCAGCCGTCGTTTAGTTTATTATATACAATGGCACATGGCATAATACTACTTAAACCTATCAGTGTCTTTGCTTTCGCGATGCGAAAATGCTCACAGCAACAATCAGCGAGGTGACATTCTTTGCTTCCGAGTTATCAGTGTTATGATATGGATGCGGATTACAACTTGGTGAATAATTGTGACCACCACAGCGGCCGCGACGGTTCGGGAAGTTTACTGCTCTTCCTCCAGAACTTCGCGGATGCTGTCCATGACCTGGTCGTAGATCAGAGGCACAGAGTCCCTGCCGTACAGGAAGTCCAAGTGGTTGTAGGTGTTGTGTGGTACCCTTCTAACTAGCCTCACATTCTTGATCGCCGCCTTCAGTCTCTCGACACCCTGCAAAATCATCGCGACGAAATCGTTAATAAGGTGCATCGAGATAAAAGCCATCAATCACATCAAGACACTAAGTTTCGGACGGGGTGTTGACTTCATTTCAGCTTACCGCAGGGACGGCGAGAAGGTCGTTGTCCGCATAGTGCAGGTAGACTCGAGTGGAGATTTTATCCAGCGGGTATTCTGGAGGGTGGATGCTACCGTACTGCCAGAGGTTGTTGAGCATGCCGTGGTCGAACTGTCGGAATTTGTCAGCTGTTCAAAATCAAGAAAATCAGGTTAATTTTCGTCATAGAGTAAAGGAGCAGGGGTTGAGGTTTTACGATGGTGTAAAACTTACAATTGATCAGTTGACCGAAGTGAACCATCTGCTTAGTGGAGGCGCCGGCGGGGACGTTGATCATGATTTCGGGAAGCTTCTCCTACGGATGAGGGATAAACATCGCAGCAAATTACCGACTGTTACTGTCTGAAGTACTCATCCGGTCCCGACGCAGTGCGGCGATTACTCACGGTGTCCAGCTCCTCGGGGTCGAAACCTGCGATGAGGAACAGCACGTTGGTGCACAGACTCTGGATCCAGGAGCCGTCGGCGCACGCCCGGGTGGTGATGGCACTCATGAAGGAGGTGCTGGGGAGGAACTCGGCGACGCCAAGCACTTTGGTGATGAACTGCGGCGCGAAAGTTCGAAATGAGCCCAACGATCTCGTGGAGCAAACCGAAACTCATCCCCCGGCCCCTGAAGTGGACCCACCCATTCTCACCTCGAGCTCGTCCACGCCCTTGGAGATGATCTTGAGGGGCAGCGATCCCACCTTGCCCAAGAAGGCGACCGGCGCCATGGCGATGAACGCCTTGACCTTGTCATTGTACTCGGGGCGCATGGAGGACATGACGAAGAAGGCCGTGGTGCCCTGGGAATGGCCGACATAGATCAGGCTCTTCTGCCCGCTCTTCTCTAGGACTGCGTCGATCATGGCGGGGATATCGTGCATGCCCATTTCGTGCCACCTGTAATTCAAAAATCATAGAACCTTTGAAAACAATAGTAGTGACTTTTTTTTTATGACTCCATGCCCACCCTGCCAGGCCAGGTATTCCCTTTCCGCCTTCTCTTCTTTTGTATGAGCAAGAGCAGCCCTCTCTCATGGTTTTTTTGTTGTTGTTGTTTGGAATGTCACAATCCATTACAAAGATTGTAGATGTCTCTACGTGTTTGTGACTGATGATTTCACGCCTCACAATGTTATCTAGATGCAGCACTTGAACATGAAGTGTTTGGCTCCCGCGCGCGGGCGTGCGCAACCCGCAGAAAAACGCCCAAATACCCACTTAACCCGGCCTGCCAATCACTCTACTGCTTATCTATCAGCTCAGATGCGCAACGCGATCCATGTTGCTTTGTTAAGCACTATATTAATTCTAAGAATTTAAGATACAAGAAGTTGGGAGTTTCTAATAAAAATTATTCGAATGATCTGCATTATCGGGTATCAGGTGCTCTCTTGTCACAGGATTGACAAACTCAAAAAGAGTTGAAGTGTCCTTTCTGTCGGCAGGGGATTTGGCATTCAAGGCCGAATCTATCCACCTAATCACAAGTTTTCAGGGAGATCGCCACATTCGGCCACCTGTATGCACCGCTACTGATAAACCCGGCGCCAATGGAATCAGTGTACGCTGCTAGAAAACTGAAGTGACCGACCGCCTCCCTGAAGCGGTGCGCGTTTAGCCCCTGCGGGAAACGTCCGAGTGGGAAACGGGACCGCCAAGCAGGCGTGTTGTGCGGGCTGCCTACGCTAGCTTTGACAGGCGCTCCGGCCTGCGCGCGGCAGAGCAGAGCAGAGCGAATGTCTCTAGCCTCGACTACTTACGAGAAGTCCCAGAATTTCTTGTCGCCGGGGGACATTGTCTCGTGCGCCCGGGAGTAGGTGTTGCCGCGGAAGTTGCCCATCCACACATCATATCCGGCGTTGTACAGCAAAAAGGCTGGAGAAGATACGGCGATACCAAATGTTACCACAACGGAGTGTGTGATTGGAAGAGAGGGGATGGGGGGAGTTGGTAGCAGACTCACCGAGGGCCTTGGAGGGGCCGAGCACCACCCAGTCCGCAGAGCAGGACAGCACGCCGTGCTGTAGGAAGATGGCGGGCTTGCCGGGGTTGGGGATGCGGTGCATCTCGAGGATGTAGCCGTCCGCCGTGCGGACCGTGTGCGTCTCGGCCGGGTAGCCGTACCGAGCGATGATCATAGGCTGCGGATGAATCACAAACATCTCCGTAAGTAAGGTACGGTAGCCGCGAGCTCGCCGGGCTGGTGGCGGCGGTCACCCACCGTGGTGTTGGCCACCGGGACGGCCAGGGCGGTGACCGGGATGCTCTTGGGCGCGGCCATGTGGCTCCACCAGGGCGCGACCTTGCTCGTGGGGCTGGCCGACACTCCGGAGAGCGCCACCAGGGCGGCGAGGGCGAGGACGGCGAGCATGTTTGTGGGCGGTGGCGTTGCTGTTGGTTGCGGTACGTATGTGGTTCTCACTGGCCCTCCTGTCCGACTGTCGGTAAGGGGGTCTCCGTGGTCCTTATATCCACTCGATGGCTGCTCCTAGGGGCGGCAGCACGGCGGCGTTATCTCACTCGAGGTGGACTCCTGGCAAGCTGGCACGAGCCACACCCACGACCCAACGACCCACCCGGCGCCCTGTTGCGGAGGGGAGAGGGAAACACTAAGTCGCAAAAAACTTAATCAGTGCTGCTGTGGACCATTGCAGTGATTGCAGTGCACACCGTAAAAAGTCTGCAAAGCATTGATTTGTATTCACATGATTTTCTTTGCACGCTACAGAGAAAACAGAAGCACTATGTTTCAAAGAACCAGCTTCGTAGCTTACAGAAGTTACAAAGCACTGATTTGTTATACGAAACATTTTACTTTGTAAGACAGACACTGGTCTGCTTCGTAATTCAAAGCGATGCTTCTTAATACAAATACACCGGATTCTTTGTTAGCTTTCAAAGAAAATACTTTGAAAAGTTTTAACAGTGCAGTACACAGTTACTAACTTACAAAGCAGAATGCGGCAAAATGGGAACTCCTACGCAATTGTTAAGCAATGCTTTCTAGTTACAAAGCAAATGCTTCGCATTTGTGAAGGATTTGGCATTTTACTTCGTAAGGTTTTAACAGTGTGCGGGGTGCAAGTAGGGTTGTGATGGTATAACTATGCAGTTTTAAAAATTACAGTCAGGAAGTGAGTAACCATCAGCAAAATAAACAATTAGTAAAAAGGAATAAGGACCAAGATGTGTTCAAAAAAACGCTGATTGCATACTGATTAAAAGCCGTGTACGACGCAGTGATTCTCCACCGAGTTCTCCAAGCCACCCAACTACACTCTAAACTTTTCACTAGAAAATTTGCCGCTTGTCGTGTCGAGAGGAAATTATTTGCTATTACTAAACTTTTTACTTGTATTACCAAACGTTTTCCTTGTATTATAATTGTGGTCCCAGAAAAGAGATTAGTAATAGTGAGGTATTTCTTGATAATATACAATAGCACAAAACTTTAGTAGTTACTAGGCAAATTTTTCAGTAAAAAGTTTCGAGTGTGGCATTCTGCACTGTCCACAATACTGTTTGTGTAACTCTCGAGATGCACTTCTGAGAGCTATCTTCATTTTTTCCCCCATTGGGCGCGTGCGAATAGGAAGCGTCACGAGAAGAGACAAAAAAAAGGTGTTGACTAAATCACTGAGGATAATCCTTTTGCCCTCTTCGACCTCCCACAGCGAAGTAAACGAACTCTCGTGGAATTGCGTACCGAATGTACTTGACCGTTGCCAAGTAGGATACTGTTAATCCGCTGCTATCAGATGTCGGGGCTATATTGGGAGGGGTCGAGAAAACTTCTCGAAGAAATGTATACCTACAAAAAAATTCGAATATGCCCCTAAGTTACCTTAAAAAAAACACACAACATACTCCTCCGCATGCACAGGTTGTATGCATATATTTGGTAGACCCCATCCACAAAGCTACCCACAGGGCACTCGACTCGTCCCGATTAGCGCGGCGGTGTGCCTACGTGTGTCCTGACGTGTGCCGACCCACCTGCGTCAGCCTCAGCGACACCTGGAGTGGAGTGCACTCGCAGGAACGCCCGGTTACAGGAGTTGTAGGTTGTAGTAGCCAGGCGCGCACGCGGCCTCCCGGTGTCGAGATCTGCGGCCCGTGAGGTCATTGCCTAGTCTAGTCTAGTCCGCCTGCGAAAGGGAGGGCTCCCCGGCCTTGTCCCCCTGCTCCTGCTCCCCCGAAGAGATGGCCTTGTCCTCCACGAGGCACACACTGGCGGCGAGCAGCGGGTGCCCGTAAAGCCGCTCGTCACCAGTGGCGGTTGTGTTGGACGACGTGGTCAGCGCGCTGCTGATCGACTCCACGGCCCCGGGTCTTGGCCTGAGCAGGGACCGCAGGCGCAGAGAGCCGCCATCCTGCTCCGAGCTGCTGCCCGCGACAAAGCCCAACGCCGCCGGGGTGCCCCGGGCCCCGTCCGTCGGGCTGCTGGATGTGCTCGAGGTGCGAAGCTCGTCCGTGAAGCAGATGCTCGCCGCCAGCGAAGGCGCGCTGATCGGGCGTCGCTGAACGAGGGTGGTGGTGGCCAGCCCGTCGCCGCGACGCGCAGAGAGCCGCACCGGCCGCTCGCGCTCAGCCTGCGTGATTCAAGTTGTCACATGACATAACGATCGTCTCTGTGGGGGGCCACTACGCGGCCAAGACTGACGAAGGGCGAAACAGAAACATACTGTATCGTCGTGGTCAGAAGCACGATCAGCGTCGTCCGCGGAGAGTTGAAGCGGGCGGTAACCTTGTTGGCGCCGGGGGTACAGCCGGCAGGCGATGGCGATCACCGTTAAGTAAACCATCAGGCACAGCAAGATGACACCGAGTAGGTATGATGCATGCCGAGAAACGTCTAAAAGAGAAACCGTCAGGGTGCCCCTGCAGTGAACGCTGTCCGAGGCGACGTTCCTTCTTGCGCGCCCGTGTGGTGAGGCGAGGGCGCTCACCGCTCACGGGGCGGGCCGCCCGCTCCGCACAGCTGCTCCGCGGGCCGGCCTACCCAGTGCATTGCAGGCGCTACCCGCCACCCAACGCGTTGCCGTTTACACTGTGAGGAAAGGGTCGTGGTGCCCACAAGGCGTGGCAAATTTGAGGGGACCAGAGTTGGACAAAGACGTCGCCCTATCCCGAAGATTCTGTGCCGCACGTAGACGCGTGGCCGGGTCGGCCCATCGTCGTCGCTGACATACGAATCTCTTTTTCTGCTCGGAGAAGTAGGAAACCCGCACGCACAACTGCATTGCGGGCAGTACTACTACTACTGACTCTTCACCGACCTGAAATCGTAAAGGATTTCCTGCGGACCACGCGGATGTCCGCCGCGAGCGCCGTGATGCCGTCCACCAGGCTGCAAGAGTACAGCCCGCTCTCGTCGACACTGACGGCTTCCAGCCGCAGCGCCCCCGTCCAGTCCACGCGCGCCGAGGGCTCGAGCCGGCGGCCGCGGCGCCTCACGAGGGCCTTCAGCTGCGGGAGGGCGGGGTCGGAGGTCGAGCGCGAGTCACGTCAGCGCACCAAATCGGCGAGGTGAACTCGAGATAATGAACTAGCGCTTCTCACCTTTTTCCGTCGCTGTCGCCAGCGCTGCAGGAACCCCGGCTTCTTGGTGGTGGTGGCGACGAGGCGCGCCGTCTCGTGCCCCGCGGGGTCCTCGAGCTCCATGCCGTCCCGGTCCCAGTGCACGTCCGACTCCATGGTGGCGCTGCAGGCCGTGGCGGCCGTGGCCCTGGTCAGTGCGCGGCCACGGCGGTCACAGCCGGGTTCGTTGGTGGGTCGCATACCCGGGGCACAGGACGATGAGGTCGTCTCCCTCCTGCAGCTCGTAGTCGAAGCGCGGCACGGGGCGGGGGGGCGCTGGTCGCCAGGGCAGGCGCCTCCGCGGCGGCGGCGGGCAGTGCCCATCACAGCTAACCGTGTCCACCTCGATAAAGTCGGCGGCGTCCTTGGACAGGGCAGAGATATCTTGAATCCACGTCGATCCGGTTGCTCTCCAGCCACTGGGATACTTACTCGCGAGGGTCGCGGCCAGGAGCGCGGAGCGGCAGGGCAGGGCGCTCAGGGGGTCCCCGATGATGACGCGCAGAGCGGCCCCCAAGTCCACGGAGGGGCCCCGGGGCGGTACCGGCGGCACGCGCAGGCGGCACTCCGCGAGCCGCTCCCGACTCCCGGAGCCGTCGCCGCCCCCACCGCCCCGCGAGCAGTTCACGCACGGCCCCCACGGCCCCCAGGCGACCGCCGCCTCCAGGGGCACGCCGGCGGTCCTCAGGGAGGCGCTGAGGGGCTCCAGCGTGGTCCGCCTGTACGCCCGATATTCCGCCTGCGAGCCGCGCACGGCCGGCACGCCCCCGCGGTCCACTGTCATAATCCCACGATTTCGTGACCTCCAGAGCACCCCGTCAAGCTTTGAGAGGCAGCCTGTCAGGCAGGACAGGACACCAGCTACTCACGGTCAACGAGGTACTGGAAGGGTCTCCCGCGGTCCACGCCCTGCAGGTGGCTGCAGGAGTACAGGCCGACACCCTCCTCCGAGACGCCCCGCAACACGAGTTCATGACGGTCGCCCAGAAACACTCGACGTCCGTCGTGGTGAGCCAGCCGCGCTAACGGGCCGCCTCGCTTCTGCTCCAGCTAGCCGCGGTAACGTCAGAAGCAGGTTACGGGGGCGTTGGGCACAGCAAGCTGCGCGAAGTGGTGGCGCCCCTACCTGGACAGGCCGCGGGCCGGTACCGTTCACCAGGTCGTCAACGCGCCACACGGCGCCGATCGCGTCGTCCGCCGCCGCATCCTCCTCGCCGCTGCATCATCCACGCCACACTCTCGTCCGTCATCCTTCGCATCTCGGATGGTAAAACCATCAGCTCGCCAGCTCACCAGAAGGAACACAAGAGCACGATTGTGGCGTTGGGCGCCGCGGCGACGATGACCGGAGAGCCTGGGAGGCGGTCCGACAAAAAGGCTGAACGGGGCTCGCAGTGGCGCGGCGCTTTCCGCACATCCTGGTCCAGCGCAACCGCCACTGCTGCGAACAGCACCAACTGAGCCTGCACTGCACACGATCCAATTTAATCCACATGTCTGGCAGGGGCACTGGAAGACGGGACTCTGAGCTTGGTGTGCTTACCGTGAGACAAAAATGATGCAACAGCTCTCTGCATGACTGATTTTTCTCTAAGGTGAGATGCATTCCCCACAGAAGATTGCAATGGTTTCTTTGATTACAGTAGTATTAAGAATGGGTCCAGAACGCGAATCAAACTGCACGCCAGTTTACAATTTGTCCACCCAGTTACTATGGCAACATCACAAAAAGATGTGGTAAATGAAAAATGATTAAAATGAGATGAGTTGTGTGTAGCAGAAACTTTATTTACAAAGGGCATAGACACCTGAGACATCATCACCCCTTCACATCCAAAAGAGGTACTGTTATAGAGGCCGTGCACCTCAATGGGGCGAACAGCACAAAAGTTATGGTGCAGTTGACAAAAGAGTTCCCAATGCTCTAGATCTTAAGTCACATCTCTTTATATTCCTATGTAGCATCAATATCAAAATACTGCAAAAGGAAAGCCCTACATGTTCAAAATTGGTGAAGCCATTACATTACAAGATATGAAATTAAAGCACAATTTCTGATAAAGCTATTTTGAATTAACAGAAAGCCTAACCACACCTCTATATAAGGGGGGGAAAAATCAGTCCATGTGCATTCTACACCAGTGCACTTATGAGTCCAGCTCCTAATCTCACCGACAGCAGGATACAGAAGACGCCTGCTTTAAAAGACGAAAGGTGAGGGCTGCCACTAGTTATCTTAAAAATTAAGTCAATCTACAAAAATAATTAGTTTTGGAGTATGTAACATTTATGCTCTTGCCCTAATCGTAATGGGTTCACAGGTTGAGGTAGCACCAAGGAGATTTTATAAGCTACAACGAGTTTCAAAAATACCTCGGCTCAAGTTATTTCTTACTGACATGGCAGCCCTAAGCACAATTAGTGACACTTTGGATCCCAGTTGAGCAGTACCCACAAGTTATCCTTTACAGCAATCACTTAAAATTATTGTAGGGTGCAGGGCATAAAAGCAAAGTATGAAAGGAAAGTTTTGATGTGGTGGAACGTTTCCAACAATAATATACATTTCACAGCCATTTTGGAAAATGGCAAGCAAATAAATGCTTAGTTTAAAGGTAACATAAAAATCAAAATTGGTAGAGAATTACTTGAGGCATTGAAATTTTACTTACAGGAGTTTTAATGCATGCTGCAGACCAAATTCTCACAAAGAAACCAAATAGATACTGTGCTTGGCATGACTCCGGCACAAAAGTGTACTGCAGTCTTTGGTTCTCCCCAAGCACAGTACTTTAAAAAGAATCACAAAAAAAAACCTTTTAGGTAATTATACTTATGTACTGGTTTTTGATCACAAACTTGCATCCATTCAATAT